GCGGTGCTCCCGCAGTTCCCGCTGGTGCAGCTGCTGCAGGTCCTCCCGCCGCTCGGCCTCGCGGGCCAGCGCCTGCCGCAGCCTGGCCGCCTCCACCTTGAGCTGGCTCACCTCAGCCTGCCAGGCCTCCTCCAGCCCGCGGGCCCGGGCGAAGGCGGCGTCATAGCGCTCCAGCTCGCGGTCCCGCTCCTCCAGCACCTGTAGGTTATAGACGAAGTCCTCCTGCAGGCTCCGCAGCTGGCCGCGCGCCTCCTCCAGTGCCATCTCCTGCGGCGCTCACCACTCCTTCTCCCTGCGGGCCAGCAGCGTATTCAGGGCCGGCTGCGAGGGCAGGCGGCCGTTAGGGGCTCGCACAGTCCTCCCACAGTGCCCGCCTCAGATGCCCACTTACAGTGCAGGCTGCCACCCTAGGAAGCAGGGAGAGCTCGGGGCGGTTACCACCTGCCGGGTCACACCGTGAATTCTGGGCCACCATGAGGCAAATCCTTTGGACCCAGCAGGTCAGGAGCACACACGTCATAAGTGACAGACATGTGACGCATGTTGTAAATAGCACACATGCCCCAAGTGAAATGCATCACATGCATCATATGAATGCATGTCATAAGCAACAGGCATGCCACACACATCATAAATGACACATAAGGGACATGCGTGTGACACCTAAAATAAATGGCATGTGTGTCATAGGTGGTATGCATATAAATGGCATGTGACTCATGTTTTAAGTGGCACACAGGTCATTAGTGGTACACGTTTTATGGGCTGTGGTCCTGCACTGGCTGTAAGGCTCCTAGGACCACTGGGGCCAGTCAGGCCAGGTCACAGGTCAGTCCAGCCACCAAGCTAGGGGGAATCCCGGGCGTGGAACAACGAGGTGACACAGCAACCGCCATGGCTGGGTGTCCCACACGAATGGGACATCTAGTGGCTGCCCCCACAAACCCAACACACACGTGAGCCCAGCTGACTGGCACTATGAGCGAGGAGCGAGTGTGTGGCCGGATGCGTTCTGGGGTCTGGCACCGTCTGGCCCATCAGCAGAAGCCAGTGCACACACAGGCCACACGGGCCAGCACACTCCCAGGGAAAGAATCAGGACAGACGCACACACACATTAACGACGCCACGCTGCTGTGACCTGACAAAGTGCCCCTGTGTCGCCACTGCGGTTCTTCCACAGAGCACAGCAAGGGCTGCGAGGCCCACAGGCCTCCCTCCTGAGAACCCATCATCAGCACCGTCCGTGAAGGTCGCCCCGCATCGGTCACAGAGCCACCCACCGGAGGTCCTCTTCTCACATGGAAATCATGTAACGCCGTGCCCGTGCTCCCAGCCATTTTCAAGATAAAGTTCAACCTGTTTGGCAGTTTACCAAGACCTCCGGGGTGGGCCTGGCCCACAGTGCCCACCACAGCTTCCTCTGGATTTCCAGCTGCTTCAGAGGGAAACCAGCTTCTACCATGTGCACCAGACCGCACTGCTGTCAAGACCCTTGAGAAGGGGGTCCTGGGAAGGGGGCACCCTGAGAGTTCGGTCCTCCTTTCCTCCTCACCCCACCACGGAATGGCCTGTCCTGCTTCTGCGAATCTCACCCAAGGATGATCCTAAAAGCCCCGAGGCTGAGATTAATGGGCTGTAAATGTCACAGATCCACAATGTGCACCTAATCCCTCTGCCAGCCAGATGTCCTCCAGGAGGGATCCCACGAAATTGCTGGGAAAGCTGCAGAAATCTCCAAAGAGGGGAGGGACCCACTGCCAACTCGGCTTTGCCCATGGTGCTCACGGTCCTCTAGGAGAACCAGGGACGTCAGGAGACCTGCTGCCAGCAGGAAAACCAGGACCGCACCAGGTAAGCTCATCACTTTGGTTTTCTCATTTGTACAGTACTGAGCTTTCTAACTCTTTTTTCTTTTTATGTTGTGAGTTTGCCTGTCAGGTATAAAAAGCTCTGAGAAATCCAAAGGTCTTAAGAAGGAGAAAATCACTCCTTGTGAAAGCCATGGTTTCCCACACATGGAAAACATGCAGCCCCCAGACAGACACAGGCAGCAGAGGCCCCGCCCAGCAGACCCCTTCAGTCACCAGCTGGGTGGGATGCACCCTGCTGTTAAGATGACACAGTGGCCCGCACTCACCCAAACCCACTCTGCGCCTGCCCGCGGCCCAGCCTTGTCAGAGGCGAAGGGAGCGACGCTGGGATCAGGCACTCCCCATGCACAGCACGATGTTTCCCGTGGGCCAGGGGCTCTGAGATGTGGGCGCATCACACTTTAAGAGGAAAGAGTGCAGGGCGGAGGATGAGTCTGAAGGAACTGGGAAAAGCAGCTCCGTGGGACAGTAAGAGCTTCCCATGCACGGGGGCTCTCACAGGGGCTGGCCTTGCCCTCGGTGCCCCCAGGAAGCTGGCTGCAGTGACTACATGCGGGATAAACAGGCAAGGAGCAGGAGACAACCCTGTCTGTGCCAAGCGTACCCCTCGCCAACATGACCAGCTCACCAGAGTGACACACACCCAAGTCAGAGACGAACCGTAGCTGCCCAATCTGCGAATGTGACACTTCTGCTCGGCTGACCAAAACTTTGGAGCGATTTCTTTTAAACATTTGATAAGTACTTAATTGAAAGAGCATGGCTTTACCGCAATAAAGCATAAGCAGCTGCAGACTCTAACTCGTACACAAATGTCAGTCCCTAGGTGCTATGAACAGCCGTTGAGGTGCACTGGCTGGAAGGACACCGAAGCAGGGGTGCTGTGTACCCCTTCCGCGGAGGACTGCGGCTCTGGACGCACTTGGCTTCCACTCAAGTCCTAACAAGATGCGCCCCACTACCCCTAATATGAGGACCCAAATCTACTCCAGTGAGGAATGTGTTCTCCTTGCTGTTCTGTAAATGTATTTAATGAGCTTAATTGACACAATGTTTTCGTGAGCCTTGAGGGAGAGTCCAGAGGTGGCTCACTGCCCTCAGGGCAGGGGACTCAACACTGCCACCCTTTGGCAACCCAACTCAGGCAGGGGGGCTAAGCTCAGCACGTTTCATCTTTAAGGGGTCCTCGGGGATGACACTCATGGACCTGAGACCCCAAGCCCACTTTCCCATCCTTCACTGGCTGCCACATAGTACCCACGACCATCTGTGAAACTGAAGTGAGAAGTGAAAGGCTGGGAACGTGCCCACGGACACAGAGGCCTACAGGACGGGGCTCCTAATGCCCACGTCTGGACAACGAGAGCAACAAAATACGTGACGATAACAGATCATACCCCGTGGGATAAAAATGTCTATACCAACAGAAATAACTGAATAAGCAGAAAAACGGGGAGAAAGGAAGCCTCTTTCTTACAGGAGAATGCGAACTAATACATGAAGAGGGAGTAATGGAAATGGACAAATGACCACTTTACAACACAAATAATTGTCTCAGAAACACTCATCGGGCAGCATGTTCGGAAACAAGATATATACCCATAGTCTCAAAGTAGCTCCCACAAGACACTTCTTACCTCCAAAGAGGAAACAGTAACTGTATGACAGAGACAGCCGGTGGCCACCACCTAAACCCATGGCCAGGTAGTAATGGGACAAACTGGCAAGCGTGTGCTACTCGTAAGATGCGCTGAGGAGAACACACTTGCACTGCTCAGGTTTTCTTACCAAAAAATGCCTAACTTGGAGTTGACCACGAGATAAACCCAAATTGAGGGGCATTCTACAAAAGAAGTGACTCATAAAAATCAAAGCAAGACTGAGGAATTGTTCCGGATTAAAGAAGAAGAAGAAAACATGGATGGTCCTGGATTGGACCCTGCAGAAGCGTCCAGTCATCCGTGAGATGGCGGAATACATCGTTTTGTATTCGCTTTCATTTCTTTAGTTTGCGAAAGGAACCGTGCTGATATAAGGTTATTTTGGGGAATCCGGCAAAAGGCACAGGGGAAGTCCCTCTACTCCTTCTGCAACTTTTTAGTTAAGTCTCAAATAATTAAAAAAAAAAACAAATTCACTCTGGCTGTGGACCTGGGCCAACGCATCTTCCTGCGCCCGTTTCGTCACCGGCAGGGCCCCACCCGTCGCGTTCCCCGAAAGGATGAAGACCGGCAGCACGAAGCAGCCTGCAGGATGCCGGCCAGCCCTCGGGACGCGCTGCCGGGAACAGGTGGGCAGGGACCAGCCCCAGCTCGGGGTGCGCGGCTCGGCGGGCCACGCAGGGGAGGCCCCGGGCCCTGGGCCCCCACAAGGCCCCGCTGTGTCCGGCAGGACTTGAAAAGTCGCGAGTCTTTCCAAGGAGAGCGAAGACACCGCGCAAAGCGACCCGAGAGGCCGTGAATAAAGGCACCTCCCGCGCCCCCCGCGCCCCCGCCCCGCGCCCCAGCCCGCGTCTCACCCGGAACGCCGGCGGCGAGCAACCGCACGGCCAGCCGCGTTGCCATAGCGACACGAGTCCGTCCGCGCGGTCCGGGCGCGCTCCGTGCAGCGCTCGGGTTCCGCCGGCCGGAAACGCGAGCCGGCCTCCAGGTTCCGGGCTCCTGCCGCCCGGCCTCGCCCGGCCCAGTCGGGTTCCGGCCCTCGGGCGTCAAGGGGCGCGTGGGGAGTCCGCCTCCGACACGACTCCCGGCGGGGTCAGCCGAGCGAGTTGGTCCCCGCACCATCGTGGGGTGGCGGGGTGGGCCGGAGGCCGCTGAAGCTTCCCCAGCCGAGCCCAGGAAGCCAGGACGCGAGCTCCCCAGGCGAGCCCGTCCGGTTGCGCCGAGGGTGGACCTGAGCCGGGCCGGGTCCGCACGTGGGGACTGCGGGGACCGCGGGCCGGCCCGGGGCTGCAGGGGTCGTGGCGCGCAGTTCCGCGGGGCGAGCCCCCAGCCCCGCCCGGTCCCTGCGGCATGGTGCGTGGGTCCCTCCAGCAGTGAGCGGGCGCCTCCGCTCCAGCGCCAGCAGGCGGCAGTGAGGCTCGGGCAGCCCGCGCGGGCCTTCCGTGCGTTTGCACTCATAACCTGTGCGCTTCTGTGTTCAATTATACGTTAAAAAAAGAATCAGGGGCCGGCCTAGCAGCGCGTTGGTTAAGAGCTGGCTTGGGACGCCGGAGGGCCCCGGTTCGGATCCCACATATGAGGGCCAGTGACACTGCCCTCCACAGCTAAGATGCTGAACAACAGCTCAACCTGGANGAGGGACGCTGACACCGAGGCTGGCTCCTGGGAAGCCGCGGCCCCCGGTGGCAGCAGGCCTGACGGGCACGGATGCTGCAGGTCACGCTTGCTGGACCACACGGAGCAGCAAGGAAGGCCACGCTGCTGTGGAGCCACAGGCCACCCTCCACCCTCCTCACCCCGCACCCCCGCCCGGCAGGCGCTCCAGCGGGAGGCGTGGCTGCAGCGCACACGTGAGGGCTGGTGCTCCAGCTTCTCTGGCTACTGTCGCCTGCATCTAACACGTAGATCAAACAACAAAACCAAAGGCAAAGCCAAGGAAACCTCCGAGTAAGCTTTGACTTCCTGGTAGCTGACAGCTGTAAAGCCGCTGTCCCCATAAATAGAAATATAGTTGGCAGAGACTTCTCTGTAAGAAACAGAAACGTTTCCCAAACCCAAGGGAACAGTAGCCGTTAAGCGTGGCCGCCACACAGGGGCCCCTTAGCAGTCCTCGCAAACACAGTTTCCGTAGGATCACCTCCGCAATGCAGCCAGGACACCGGAGTGTAACCTCAGTTTCAGTGACAAAAGCTGTGTGTGTACACATGTCCCCTAGACACTAGGTGCAGGGGGACAGAGAGGGCTTAGATGCCAGAAAGAAAACCGGGTTGAAGAAGTACCCCATTAACGGAGAAACTGGTGCATCTGCTGCGGAAACAGTCTGGTAGGGCCTCAGAAAGTGGAACATGGAATGACCACGTGACCCAGCAACGCCACTCCTGGGGACAGACCCAAAAGAACTGAAAAACAGACCTGTACACCCAGGTNGTTGCAGGCGACGGTGTAAGCTGCAGCCCCTGCTGCAGTGGGTTGCCATGGGCTACCGTGTGTAGCCAGCAGCCAGCGTGAACGGCCGGCAGCCAGCGTGAGCGGCCATCCAGAAGCCGGTACTGACCTGCCTCTCCCGGGAAGAGCGCAATGATGGTGCCAACTTGGGCCAGTGAAGCGGCGTCCTCCACAACTAGACTGAAGAACAAAAAGGACAGCAACTTGCCTGTTCCCCTTCCCCCAATTCCCCAATTAAAATCTTTAAATAAATAAATAAAATGAAGAAACGAAACTACCTCTGCAGCCAGCCCGGTGCTTAGAGACACCCTTCATCAGCGGCGGAGCGTCCCGGGGGCTGGGGAGGACACAGTTGTCCCGAGTGGAGACAAAAACGGGTGCTCGGCCCGCATGGTGGTGGCACGTTGGGCACAGTCTCCTGCCCGCAGCTTGGTCCCACCCCTCCTGTAGGTCTTTTCTCAACCTGGATGGCATACATGGTGGTCCCCAAGCGGGTGCTGCCACGCTGGACAGACGTCTCAGCCGTAAGAAAGGCTCTGTTTCAGGAGGCAGCTCCTGGCCAGAGGCCCAGGAGGTATTAAATATCAGAGACAGATCGATAACCCAAGCCGCACGGGAAATGTAAGATGTGAGATGTGATCGTACCACTGTGTAGAAACCACTGAAAATAGCCCGCCTGCCTGGAGGAGCCCCGAGGTGATACAGGAGAGCTCCCTCACTGTGGGAGTTCTAAGTCTCCTTTTCCCTAGTTTCTTAGCCTTTTAGCCCCTGGTCTTAATCACTTTTCAAATCAGTTTCTTACTCCTAAACTAAAGATTGCTCTTAGCCTAAATCACAGACTGTCTTTCACCCCTGTTTCAAATAACTACGTACTTAAAAGCCTGTGACTTAAGCTTGTTAACTGTAATCATTGTAGCCCAACACTCTTTCAGACCATTCCAGACCTAATCCCTGGGTAAAATAAGATAATTGGGCTTCGAGTCCTGTTCCTGGAGCCAGCACTTTTAATTTATTAACTAACATCTGTTTCTCCTCATCTAGGAGCTGTCCAGATACAAATTATGTCCCAGTGAGGCTTCCAGTGCACCCCAACCAAGGCAGATATGAGACGCCCTCTTTTTTTATTTAAGATCAGATAGGATGAGAGTTTTGTGAATCCCCAGCAGGTAGGGACGGCTCTACCTCCCTTCTCAGCTCGAAGCAGATACAGGAGAAGAGACCTCCCGTCCCTCAGTTCCCCACAGAGATTTATGGGTATCACGTCTCTCAGGGAAAACACGGCAGGCAGTTAGAGATAGAAACGGCATCCCTGCATTCCTGCACGTCCCACACAATCTACGGGGAGCACCGCCTGGACACCTCCTGATTCTTCCTTATCCGCCCTAACCATTAGCCGCTGTGAGGACCTAACTAAACTGGACTGGTCACTCACACCTGCACAGTAGAGGCCACCACGACCTCCATCTCACCCTAGCATCATTATACCATCATTATAACATCATACATATGCCCAGAAGTTCATTAATATCATTATAACAGACTGAACCCTGGGAAGGGACATACCTAAGAAGATGAGGTAATAGCCCCACATCAATCACAGGTGTCATCAAGTGGTCCTGCTCCCCAGAGGAACAGCCCCTCCTAGAGGAAAAAAGATAAAACCCCCAGGCTCCCGCCAGCCGCTGCTCCTTTTGAGCCTTGCCTTTGCTCGGGCCCGCTCCAAGCTCTTTGGAGTGTACTTTTTCTCCTAATGATGGCTTCCAGCCGCTTTTTTTTTTTTTAAAGATTTTTATTGGGGAATTGAGGGATGGGAACAGCTCTGGGGAATTGGGGGAAGGGGAACAGACAAATTGCCGGCCTTTTGTTCTTCAGTCTAGTTGTGGAGGACGTTGCTTCACTGGCCCAAGTTGGCACCATCATTGCGCTCTTCCTGGGTGAGGAAGATCAGTCGCCGGCTTCTGGACGGCCGCTCACTGCAGCTGCTGGCTACACACGGTAGCCCATGGCAACCCACTGCCACAGGGGCTGCAGCCTACGCCATCGCCGGCGACCCATGGCAGCCCAGCTCCAGGTCGAGCTGTTGTTCAGCATCTTAGCTGTAGAGGGCAGTGTCACTGGCCCTCATGTGGGATCCAAACTGGGGCCCTCTGGTGTCCCAAACCAGCTCTTAACCAACACACCACTCGGCCGGCCCCCAGCCACTTTTCTTTGTGCTCAGCCTGCTCTTAATTCTTTGGAATGTACTATCTCTTCTAATAAACTTCTCTTTCACCACTTTAACTCTGTGTCTCAGTCAATTCTTTGTTCAAGACTCCCAAGAACCTGGACACCGCACCAAGGAGGACCCAACCCCCAGCAATGTAGCCGTTAAGATTCCCAGTTTTCCTCCCCGAGGCCCAGGTTCGATCCCCCGTGTGGGAACCTAGCCTGGGCACCAGGCCAAGAAGGGACCCCCCCCTCTTCGGTAACAGAGGGGCCTGACGACCTTTAACCTGCTGTGACAGCAGCAGGTTCAAACCCCATCTCCGATCCTGTCTTGCTACAGCTTTCCTGGACTTGGTTTGCTTCTCCATAAAATGGGGGCGACACTTCCCTTTCCTGGTGCTTTGCCAGTGAGAAACGTGTGAACCACACAGCGCTGGTTCCGACCCACTGAAGGGGCTCCGGGGTGTGTCTGTAAGTGGATGGGACTCCCCGTTTCAATGAATGAACTCTGCGCCTTACCCTGACCTGAACCACCCCAGTCCCAGTTCTGACCCTGATCTGGCGTTGACCCCAAGGGCAGCTCCAGGCACAGCATGACCTTGCTTCCTGCAGGAAGGGCCACCTCCTACTGCCCTCTCGAGGTGACATCCTTCTTCCTGGTCCCTCCTCCAACCCCCCCCCCCAAACTCCCAGCACTGAGCCTCCCCGTTGCGTGCCATCTGAGGCTCCCAGGGTGACGGTGCAGTCCTTACCTTCCCGCACACATCATACAGCAACACGATGAAAGCCAGCCGGCAGCGGGCCCTGCCAAGAGCCCGAGCACTCACCACCCTGCAAGGGGCTCGCCACATCACGCCTGGCTGACTCCCACGGCACCTCTGAGGTCTGCCATCTTGTCTGCTTGGCTTCTCTGGGGCCCCTTCTCCATGCCTCACACCCAGTAGCCCAGTAGATGCCCATGGGGGGACATCTGCTCCTCAAGGTCAGACTCGCAGAGCCCGTTGGTGCCTGCTGTCTTTACCCATCTTAACTACCCAGCCTGGCTGGCGCCCCTCTCCACAGTGCCCTCCTGGGACCACCAAGGCTGGCACCAACACACCAGAGCCCAAGTAACCCCTGGACTCAGCCCCCTCAACGGCGTCCTGCCTGCGTTTCTGGTCACTGGGCACTCTCCACCGGGCTCCCCAGTGGGTCAGGCCAGACTCCCTGTTCTCCCAGTCTGTCTCCCTTGAGCTGTGTCCAGCCCACTACATCCCAATGGCTGCCCAGGTATCAGTGTCCTGGGGCCACAACAAATGGCGGTAGACTGGGGGCCTTAAGACAAGAGCTCTAGAGCCTAGAGCCCAGAATCAAGCTGTCGGCAGGGCTATGCTCCCACCAAGGCCCCGGCTAGAGTCCTTTCTGCCTCTTCTGGTTTCTGGGGGTTTCCTGGCAACCCTTGGTGTCCCTTGGCCAATCACTCCACTCTCTGCCCCTGTCATCACATGGCCCTCCTGTGTGTCTCTGTCTTGACATGGTGTTTTTTTATAAGGACACAGTCATATGGGATTAGGCCCCTGCCACACCAGTGAGACCTCATCTTAGTCACATCTGCAATGACCCTATGTCTAAGGGAGGTTGCATCCTGAGGTCTTGGGGTTGGGACTGGAGCACACCTTTTGGGGACCACTGTTCAACCCTGGGCCTGGGCTGGGCTGACAGCCCCCAGTGCCAGCTCCCCACCGGCTGCCCTGTGGTCACCCTGTCACAGATGTAGAAACAGAGCAGTAGGGGTGAGGGACCCCATGCCCGAGCACAGTGCTTGTGGGGTGATAATGTTGGGGACACTGGAAGGCTGGCGAGGGACTGGCGCTGACGTGTCACAAGGGACGGCCCCCTGTATCACATGGAGACCTCACAGCCACCCTTC